CAATATGTATACTTGTGCACATGCACAAAAAGAGATCCCGACGTCCTTTTTAGGTATTTGCATGTCTTAGGTCATTTTTGGTGACACAGGCATAGGCTGATCATCTTCTGTGTGTAGTGTTTCACTATATCCTCCCGCGTCTTGAAAAATATACAACAGGTTAGGAATGTCATTTATTCCCCTGAGTGTGCTGGAGTGTGCAACTATCCAGGCCTCATCAGGCCCTCGCCCCGCTATCAGGGCTGAAGTCAGGGCTCAGGCCGCCCCAGAGGCCGAGCCCAGGCCCCAAGGTCTGCCAACCCCCCCCCCCCCCTGTATTTGTAGAAAAAATAAAGCAAATATTATATAGGAAAATAGGCCTCAAGAAGTCAGAACGGATTCAATGGAATGATGGTGTGAATTTACGTTTATTGATTTAGGACAGAATGTTCTGCGAAATTGTACAACTTATTTCAAAAAACGTAAATATTTTAAAACATCATCACTTTTTATTACCCCCTCTCGGAAATCGTTTGAGCGATCAGCGAACTGCAATCAGCCAATACGATTATCTATCTATAAATAGATATCTTGTATACACTGCTCCACAATATGATTTCAGAACTATAAATAGATATTTCTGTGACAGTATTTTGAATCACGCACGTGCATAGGCATCGAATCCAATAGCTTGTGTGCACGGATCAATAATCATGTAGAGCCGCTTGCTATACGCCCGCATACTCGAGACTACCAACTGTTAACAAGCATAGCACATATACACGTTGTAGCTAACTCTCGAAGTATCACTAATTATAAGACAACATGCGTTTGGAAAAGTGTTATGTGTGCTCCTCTACTGTATACCCGGGACACGGTTCTACATTTGTCCGAAATGATAGCAAGGTATGTGCACGGGCTACCTATAGTTTGTTGCTGGTTTCTATAGTGTGAAGTAATTCCAATAACAGTTTATGCAATGATATAACATCACCATATGGTCGATTCTTAGGAATGAAATTAGGATGTCTTCACTGCGTGTTGTGATGCACATGCTTTCTGCTTAGGTACTTGTGGCAGGCCATTTAATCTCAGGGTATAGTGATATTCGGGTATTTGGCATCTGGTATCTCTTCTGCATGTAGCACATTATATAACACTATATATATTTCATATATATTCTAACATAGTAGTTCATACTTTATCATCTGCCAATTACTGGCACGGTGTGTTCACTGCAATACATTGTGATACGAGTGATACCTAGTCATTCCATACTTGTGCTTATCAACGCATCGATCTTCAGAAAAAAACTCAGAAAGTGTAGTATGCATATAAATATGTACAGCGATGATATTGCAGGAGAGAGTTACCATATTACGTATACATGTTTACGCCGTCTTCTTGATATGTGTCTAATAATTTGATTAACAGTACGAACAAGAGTAAGATATGTTAGGCCGCCTCGCTGTGCTAAACAGTGTCGTAGGTTGTGTTTAGAATATCACAAAATGTGGAAGTAAAGTATATATAAGTATATATATATACATGTATATGGATGTATGTATGTATTTAAGTAATTAAATATACATTCATTATATAAGTTATTCATTTGCATATACACGCTCAACAATAAACACACACTCATTGTTATATATATATATTTATAGATTTATTTGTAGACGCGTATATTAATACCTGTTCACACTAACGCATAAGGCATATATATATATATATAATGTTTATGGATGTGTATCGGAGTCGATGGGGGTAAACCACTTTCTTTTATATATATATAAACACGTCTTTTTTTATTGTGGGCATGACTTATGTATGTTTATGGATATACGTTGGCCTCGAGCCGATTTTTTTTTAAGATTTCTACGACTTTTTGGTTTTTTGTGTCTGTATATGCGGACGCCGATCGAGAGTTTTATTGTTTTCTAAATTCCCGCTTTAATGGTATGATGTACGCTCAACTTTTCATGTTTGTATATCCATTTTTTCTTTGTAATCTGAAAATTTCATTCTAATCTATATATTCGAATGTATTGATTAAGTCTTATCCAACGTACTATATGAGCTACATTTCGTCATGTTGCATTTGCTATGGTGGTTCACTTCACAGCCCTGCATTACTGGGCATGTGTACAAATTTTGTTTCCTTTGAACAAAACGTTCGGCTGTTGCAATGAAGTACCTTCTTATACTAATTGTTTCAGACGGTTCGAATGGCAGACGTCTCAAAACATCATCGTTTTTATTTTCTTCTTTCCAGATTTTCCGATTTTGCCGATCAAAATGTTCGAAGAACTTCAAGATGAAACGTAATCCTCGTAAGATGAGATGGACTAAAGCATATAGGAAGGCGCATGGCAAGGAGATGGTCGTGGATAGCACATTCAAGTATGATTAGTTTGCGTTGGTTGTAATTGCAGTTCGGTACCTTCGTTCAATACGCCGCATCGTATGCTGCCCCATAGTGGTGGGCAGTATTGTTTTTTGGTGTCGCCTAGAATACCTGTCATCCGGTAGAATGCAGTAGTTGTGCATCTCATTTTGAAGGAGTATAGGTTTGCAGTAGTCGAATTTACGTTTATACTCATACAGATGTATGTATATATATAATTTCTGTTTGCAATCGATGCGTGTCGTATGTTACATTCAGCAGATCTTTCTTTGAGCAAGTTCTGATTGTCCGTGTGTCAAATTGTCCTGTCCAATATATCAGGACAGGTACAGAATATTCGGAACCAGTCTTTCATTCGGCCGGCTGGTTTCCTATAATCACATACGGACCTGTCTGGTTCAGATTACAATCAAGAAGTATTGATTCAGAGTCCATATGAGTATACTATAAACCCTAAAACCCTGGTGAGAACACCACGAACTAACCCACTGCCTTGGTAATCCTTAACTTCATCCCACAGCTTCGAGAAGAAGAGGAACGTTCCGTTAAAGTACGACCGCGACCTTTGGGCCAACACATTATTAGCCATGAAGCGCATTGCAGAGATCAAAGAGAGGCGCGAGCGTCAATTCATCAAGGACAGGTATGTAGTCATGTCATTGAACTGTGCCTACCTACTAGATGTTTCTGTGTAGCTCAGTGTATCGGATTTGTTTTAGCTGAACCTGTGTATGCATGAGCATGTATATCTGTGTGCACGCGTCGTTCCTGAGTAGGCAAGTGCATTGTATTCGTTCTAACTGCGTACGTGCATGCGGGTTATTGTTCGTCGATACTATTAAGGAGAGGCAAGCAATTGAAATCTACATATGCATGCGTACGTATGAAAAGTTCATTTAAACAGGGTTGTTTCGGTATTGTTCAATATTATCTTGCATGTATCGGTGTGCTGTTCTTGTAGGGTTGAATGCATGATTTCGTTGTGATTGGGCAAATGTTAGTAAAAATAGTGTATACGTGAATTCATAGTACGGAGTGGTAGTGTATTATTAAAAGTATGAAACTATTTTCCGGTTAGAATAAACATCCACATGGAGAGTCGGATGAAAATAAACTACTTTTATATTAATTTGCACTGAAACCTCCCAATCTGACCACCTGCATCGTGGAACTAATCATGAACCAACTAATTCCATACAGGCTCAAGCAAAGCAAGGAGACCAAGAACCAGATCGCACTCGCAGAGGTCGAGAGGGGTATCAACCTCATTGCTGCGCCCACGCTCAAAACAAAGGAACAGCTGCTGCGGGTCGCCAACGTATCTACCAAGAAAGAAGTGGAGACGATGGAAGAGTAAATACGTATATACATAAGAGTACGTATACTGATACGAGTAGGTATACGGATGCGAACACGAGTAGGTATACTGGTACAGAACTTCTGTGGAGTACATATATAATTAGTCATGTGCGCGAGAGACGGGTACAGCGCATTCTGATGCGCTCTGTGCAGTATCCGAGGCGCACGTGCTCGGGATGGAAAGAGTTAGCAAATCATTGTACATTAAAATTATAAATATATATACACAACGTACTGGTGTGTATACAATGTGCGGAGAGTGGGTTATTCGTGCTTCAATAGCTGTGGGTAATACACAACGTACTGGAAGATGTTTTTGTTATGACAGAATCAGGATCGCCGTGTACAGGACCAAAACAAATATATTGTCGGTTACTTTTATGTCGCAATATACGGCGTATTTAGAACGTACGGACCTTTCTTCTGCGTTCAGAATTGCGTGTATGGACACACACATAGTTGTGTCTGAATTTTGTAGTTTTGTTGATAAAAAAACATTAGTGTGGAGATTCTTTCATCATTGGGCTCTAAAGACCACTTCGTCTGAGCCTATTCTTGGCTATGCAAAAAAAGAAAACATAGATTGTCGTTAACTGACACTTTTTTCAATGGTGATCAAACTGCCTTTGTAACGTATGGTACGATATGTTACACAGCAGCATTTTTACGATCAGAAAGTTTGAACGAGAGCACTAGTAGAGAGAGGGGTATATTCCGAGAACGCACAAACGATATATTCGTATTAGTTCAGTATATATTTTACGTTTATTTGAGTAAATAGAATCATCGATATTCTTAATTAATGAATATATATTTATGTATATCTAATTATAAATAACAGGCAGTCGTATTGCAGGCAATTTTGAAAGGCAGTTGTAATGCAAGCAGGCTTCAGCATTCCCCAATAGCATGTCTCGAAAAAGAGGCCTTGAAAACAACCCTAAAACCCCTATGACGCCCCTTTTTTTTCTTATCATCATTTGTGAAAAAAATTACAAAAATAGCACAGGTCAAAAATCCTATTTATTTTTTGAAAACAAGTATATCAAAAATTCTGGCTAAAAGTTATGTAGGGTACGCACGCCCTATATCACGATCGCTGTCGTATGCCGTGCGGCCGCAAGGTACCGTGTAGAGGCGTAAATACGCTTTGCTTTTAGTGACAAAGATCTCTTCGTGGTCCTTTTAACGAATCGTGTTCTTTACAGATCTATATATAGAATCCCAACTCACAACAAGGCTCATCCGCCTCATCGTGATATGGAGTCGGACTCGGAAGGATATCATTTCAAAAAAAAAATTGTCCATACCGGCATCGGTGATCGGGCCATACCCCTCGGGTCCACAGTCCCACACTCACAGTCTCACAGATACAGACTAAATACAAGTGTACAATGACGATATCGGTAGGAATTCCACACGCAGCCAATAAAAGTCCATAGATAATGGGCTGCTGATCAACTGATAAAGAAAAATTCAATCCTTGTGAACCTGTGCCGGTGCGTAAGCTCGAAACTTCCCATCAAGGCTTGAAGGCACCATTGGCTAAATAAAAAACATTTGTTGAAAAAAAAAAGTGTATGTATATATACATTCATTTATATATATACATTAATATAATTGTATATATATATG